CCCCAAAACCCCAAAACCCCAAAACCCCAAAACCCCTTTGTGAAATCTAACATGGAAATGCAGCTTATAAGCAAAACTTATTGACAATGGCCTCAGGGCATTCCACACACGAGTGAGAAGCTATCAACTCGAGGATGTCTGCCTTCGAGTAGTCGTAGTTGGTCACAGCTTTCTCCGAGTTTAAGATCAGCGACATTAAGTCGAAGGCTCTGGCAGCAGGCTCTTCAGTCAGGTATGTTTCGATGTAAGTCTTCTTCGCGTTGATGTTGATCAGGGCCTGCCACTTGGTGCCGTTTTTGAACACTCCGATGTATCGGGATCTTCTTGAACTTGCTTTGCGAGATCTTGGATGCACTTTTTGTTTTCCATGAACTAGCACCTTGTTATCGTCAGCAACTTTGTCAAGGTATCTATAAAGCCTCTCAAGTTTGGCTCGAAGATAAGCAGTTCTTTCTCTGATAAATTTGTCTTGAATTTTCTTTGTTGGCTTTGTGATAGTTGAACTTTGAAAATTTTCCCTCTTTTCAATTTGATTGTCTCAGTTGCAACCACAGTAAGAGCTAAGTTCTTCGAGTTGGCAGAGGCAATAGTTAGACAAATCTAGAGGCCTCTCGCAATAGTTGCTCTGGTCTACAACCATTGGCATGCTAACACAAGAGTTCATCATCACAAGCTGGGGAACATAGAGCTCGAAAGCAAGTTGATAACTCTGGGAGTCTAAAGTTTGGAATTCCATATTCATGGTAAAATATTATTTATCTGAATCTAAAATTCTTGCTTAAATAGTTTGAACTTAGAAGTGGTATGATAACCTAGCATTACTTTTCACGCTCCAGATTTTTCTAAAATTTTAGAAAATAACGTGACAATATTATGAAAAATAGTCTAACTCTTATCAAACCCTTCAATTGAAGAGCCCCAGATAGTCAATAATTCATTCCACAAAATATGTTTGTGAGTCCTCTTTTTGAAGGCCTCCGAAGTCGTAATCAAGCGTGGCTTATTGTTATTGGCCATGGCGACCAAGTGATGACAGGATGCAACCCTCTTCAGTATGACTGTTTGAACTGGCAATTAAATTTTTGACTAGATTTCTTCAAGAAATAATGGCTGCTGCATTTACTATTATGCTAACCCATAGAGAGTTCTAAATAACCTAGAGCCTGATTATTTCTCGATAATCTAACCGTGAAGGTTATTCTGAGTGAGACCCTATTATGCAAATATTTTAGATACTCCACTCTGTTCATTCATAAGCAATTAAAAAGTCTAATTTTGGCTTCTCCTGTAAATTTAATAATTATTCACAAACCTGGTTTCTAAGTTGGACCATCAAGGTAAAGGTGGGATTGTAATCCTTGCAAATGTCTTGCTGGCTGAGTTTTATGATAATATTTATGCAAAATAGAGACAATGAATTACTGTAAGCAGTTCTCAGGCTCTGCAACTTGAGTGGATGCTTCAAGAAATCTGGAGGAAACTTGCATTATTATTCTTTCTTAAAACCTTCAGATATTATCATGCCTTCAAAATTTTAAATTTGAGTTAAAATTGATAAAATTTTTGAAAATGCTCTAGAAATTTCATTATAATCTGTTAAGCTGCCCAGTTCTCCTCTAGAAATTTTATGAGAAATTTTGAGACTTCTGGAAAACTTCAAAAATTATTTGAATTTTTAGAATTAATAAAGATGTAAAAAATTGAAATTCTTCTTCATATCAAAATTAGGCAAAAGCATGCTTCCCATACAGCTGAGCTGCCATTTCTTCTAAGACCAACTCTCTTGCTCAGTTTGCTTGAGGAGGCCAAATATTGGATGCCAAGAGGTGATATGTTAAGATACTAAACCCAAGCGAATCTTCCTTATGGAAGATTCTTTGTCAACTGCATTGTGGTAACTTTACCATCATTTAGTTGCAAATTCTTCCCCATTGTCTCTATCAGGTTTAGAAGTTAGCCTTATTGCTTGGGCATCTTGTGCAAGACCTAAGTTCCTGATATTTATTGTGAAATAAAAGCATCCCTTGAAAGGCATGGGAGACTATAATTAGAAAAGGCTACAATGACTGGAGCGAGAGAAGCAGTTGGAGCCAAGACTATAAATGCTCTACTTTGAGTCAAATCTCAGTGGATACTAAAACTTCATGGATACTATTAGCCCTATGATTTCTTGGAAAGATTCCATAAGATTCAATTGCTGGGTGACACAATGGGGTTTTGGGGTTTTGGGGTTTTGGGG